AAGGTTAGTTGGATCGATTAAGATATTTTTGACGAAGTAGGTGTTTTCGTCTACATTTGTTTCCTGTGTATGGGAATGAAGAAGTTGTTTCCAAAGTTGGAATTGTCCAGTTGTGTCCAAGATGTCCACTGTATTCTGTGAATTTCGTTGAAGTGTGGAGGTCTTCATGGTCTATTTGAAAACAAGAGGAAAGGGATAAGACGGGATTAGGCTGTCTTGCCTCATACTAGTCTTTACTTGAATGCGTATGCTGGCTACCTCCTATGCATGGTTTTTCATTCTGATCACTCGTATGAGCTTCGTATGCTGGTGATGATCTCCTCAAGTACTCCATAGTCCTGAAAATATTCCATGAAACTCTCTTGTTCACGTTGTCCAATGCTTTCTCATAATCAAGGAAGCTGGTGGATAATGCTCAGTTCCACTCGAATAACTGTTTAACAATGATCAGCAGTGTCAGGCTTAGCCGGTATATGATACATCGTTACGAAAGCCAGCTTATTTATCGGAAGGAACTTTTGAATTGTTTGTTGCTACATGTGTGATCGATCTGATTCTCCAAAGTATGGTCCGGTGAAACTTATGTAACTTTATGTATGTGCTTGTAGCGGGGTAATGCTACTGAAGGCACATAAATCTACTAGTCTCTCACTATTCTCGTTCCTTTCTCCCAGACCATGTTTCCTCATAATGTCTTACTGTTTTGTCCATAACGAATTTGGCATTCAGGTCCTCCCATCAGGATTGTCAGATCCTATCCTGTGGAGTTTTATACAACGGACTACAGATCCTCATAAAACTAATCTTTATTGTCCCAGTTGCTAACATTGGTGTGCGTGTAGCACAAAACGACAATCATTGTAATCCCTTTCTTCCTTTTTTTGAAGGATGCTTTGATTCTTTCCGAGTATAGCAAAAAGTGAGCATTCTTCAACAAAGATAACTTTGTTTTACAACAGAAAATACTTAGCCCTTTTTGATGGCATCGGATTCAAGTAACCAGCGAATACTATTACAATGTCTCAAATCATCATTAACAGTCTCAGGGATTATTGCTCTAAAGGTTGACGAAATTGTGGACTTAATAGTTTATATGATGAACTTATTTTAGCTAGTTGAACATCAAAATGCATAATGCAATGCACAACTGCATTTACTTGATAGTAGGCTCCCATGAATTCACCATACATCGTGAAAAGCTCTTAAACTCCATACCACTGAACTGGCATCTAACGGTTTATATGTCCATTATCAAGAAATTTCATTTATAAGACAAAACATCCGACCAATTCATTCTAGTTTTCAATAACTGTCCAATTAAGATTAGTTCGTAATATAAACTATAAGGTTAATAAATATTTGTCTTTATAATAAACGATCAACCAATTACTAAACTTTATTCTGCTCATTCACTCATATTCATCTTCCTGTCATCAATTTCTGACCCTGACTAACTGAAGGTGACTGCTTGTAAATGTATTGAATAAAGTATTGTCTAGTGTTAATCTGATTCTCTATTTTGCATCGTCAATCCTAGTTTTGATATAACATTACTGTTATATTCTAACAAAGAACAAATGAATGGTAACTGATAGGAATTATTTATGGATTGTTATATATATCTTATGATATAACTATTAAGTAACTAGATTATGTATATTTCTTCTGTTATAAGCTTCCATTTAACCTTTTAGCTACTGCAATACGATTCGCCATTGTTAACTTATTCCCGATTTGATAGTTACTGTCTCTCACACTCACAGCCACTTTTGGTTTGATCGTGTATATTTATCATCTTTATTTTATGGTGAAATGCGGTCTGCTTTGCTCGTATATAAATCAAGTATGTCTGAAATATATGATTCATACAATGGAAACTGAGATTGTGTTCTGGACGCAATAGGCAGGCCGAGATCAAAAGGACTCAGAGTTCACTCTAGGTTGCTCGTGCTGTTTAACATGTCATTGGTTTATCGATGTTCTGATTGGTGATCTTATCATGTGATATTTGACGGGGCATATGACATAACGGTGATTAGTTTTATTAACGTATTATCGTAATATACGTGAGAGCGATAAAATATTAAGTATCCATCATTCATAATATTAGATTGGTACACAGTTGTAATTTACGAAATTATGCATGTGACGTAAAAAGGTCCCTTATACTTCTGATCCTTTACAAAATCTGAAGTCAACTATCAAACTATCGCAGTTATAGGCTATTGTTGTAGAACAGAAATGAAGAGATACTTAGATCAATAATTCGCTCACAAAATCAACAAAAACCTACGATGAAGTTTAGTGAGTTTCGGTGGAGTTTTGTTCTCTGAGCTGGATGGTTTGGTCGTGGAGCTTTCATCGTTCTTCTGAATGACATCATCAGCACAAACTTCAGATAGAGGTGAATAGTTCGAATTTCTCCATATGTTTTTCACAGCTTGTTCTGTGCACCTCATCCAGCTGAGAGAACAAAACTCCACCAAAATCATCCATTTGAGCTACAAATCTTCTCCACCATCTCAGAGTTTAGTGAAATTATTTTCTTAACAATATGGTTGCAGTAGAATGATTGTACTATTTTATACATCACCAATAACTTCATTATCTCAAATTTATTCAACGTTTCCGTGACAACCATATGCCATTTTCTCAAAATCTTAAACAAGTTTATTTATGAAAAAAATGTTTTATTGACACATAGATTCAATCTGAAATTGAATTCAATGCACTTGAAAAAGGTTTATTTAGTAATAAATATTTAAAGAAAATTGTTAATTAAGGTCATTTTAAAATCGACTTAGTAACAATTTTTGTATAATTTAACACATTTTCTTTTACACAGCTAATCATTCACTTCTGGTAAATTAAAATAATTTATTAATCGACCACAGGAGAGATCTCTATTACTTAGCAATACAAACATAAATTACCAATCAATCGAAAATTATGATCTAAATTGTGGTAAAAGAAAATTGACGTCATAGATAGGTACTTATTAAGAAATTATTAGTATTCTTGAAGAGCTAAGAATACAGAATTTACTGATGTTAAATGTGAACAACCTTCAGTAATAAATTGGATGAAGTTCTAAATCTAAATCCTTACAATAATCCCCAGTTTGACTTTAGCTACTGGTTTGAAAAACTTGAAGAAAAGGCTATCGTTAACTTGGGAGCGTAATTATTCAATTTAGACTTAAAAGACATTCAAATTAACAACCGTTTTCGTGGTAGTAATTGTTCCATTTCAGTATGTGAAAGTTCGATTCTCAATTATAGGCAAAGGGTCTTCATATCCTTTCAACAAGAACTTTTAAACTGACTTATTCTAGATAGATAAGTGAATCCATTTACCTCCAGATGATCTGTACTATGTTTAGTGAAATTCGTATATACTCTAGATAAAACGTTGAACCTTATGTCTCACAATGAGTTAAACTAAAAACAAATGGATATAGGACTGTCAATGAAATTCTAACTAGAATGTTCACAACAACTCTTACGTTTCTCTGGAATCCAGAACATTTGTTGTAATTCAAATGTCAGTGTTAATCTGGTTGCTTAACTCATTTGAATCTTACAAATTTTATGTTCTGTTTCTGAGTTTTGAACATGACGAATCTTTGTTACCTAGATTACTAATACCTATGTTCAACGTTCAGCAAGAATTTCTCTGGAAAGATATCGTTATGGTAGGGAGTTATTCATTATTTACTATTGATTGACAGTGAGTGTTCAGTTCCAGTAGATAATGCCACAAAGTGTGCACACGGCTAATAAAACCTTGTCAAGAATGTAGCACCAATGTTTTCTCGGCTGTGAGAGGTCTATTGCTCAGATTATCAATTATTATTGAGACAGATATTGAATGAATCAATTTGGTACAAAGTTTCTGAAAGATAAGCACTAGGGATTCCATTCATGGAATGCGACCTCAAATAACGTTAAGTGTTATTAAAAGTCATGGGTTCAGCTGTGAATTTAAAGTAACATCATGTGATACAGGCATCATTGACGGAAGATGACAAAAAGCCTGCCTAGACTTGAATTAAACGGAGACAAGAGTTCTAAAGTCACTTAAAGAAGTGTTGATATTATGTTTCACAAGTATACATATTTATAGTTACGTCAGTGGAAGAATCTGAAAAGATCGCAGTCCAAAAAGTCAGGATGAGACGGAATTTTTTCATTGAGGTGATATCGAAAATAACAGTAATGCTTATATTAAAATATGGAGCTTAAACCGTTACCAAATGGTATGTATATTTGTTTAATCAACAGAGAGATTTAAAATCACTATAACTGAAATGCAAGAATGAACTATATGTTCAATATTTAGAACGTCTACGATTAACAAGAAGCTAAACCTTGATACATTTTAGTTTTGCATAAGTTTAGTAGAGTAAAAGAATGTATCAAGGAACTCAATTTTTAAATCTATGAGAATACTGTAGCCAATTAATCATAAATTAAATAAGACCTTTGAAATTTCGAAAAATTCTCATATTCTGAATTAGAACAACGTGTATAAGCGAACATTATTGTTTTCAGTTAGATCCTCATCAGGTTTTACTTTCATATACAGTAATATTTATATGCATATACGAAATTATTAAACTAATCAAGGCAGTTTATCAGTCAGTGATAACACTGGAATAGATAGCATTGATGTAACGTGTGCGCGACTGCAGGTTTTGATAAGCAGCGTTTTATCGATCGATCACAGTAACACGGAAAAAAACGTACGGACGACCTAGAGCCCTGATTGGTCCCGCTTCGCAGTCTGTTCCAGCCAGTTGAGTGAAGAACGCAAGTCACAGCCTCTGAGTTATGAATCGTTGTATTTCAGACATACTCTATTTATATACTAACCAAACAAACCACATCGTACCATAAAATAGAGAACAACATTTACAAAATATTTAACAAGTGAAATAAACATCAACCAATAAGAAATGTACATTTAAGGTCCAAGACCACCATAGACTTAACACGATAATTATTGGTATATTTTTCCGACTATCCTAACAAGTAAAAAGTATAGATTGATAGTGTGATGACAAGTGTACTAGTTGTGATAATAATAACAAAGTCTTGAATCAAAGTTTCATAATAGGAAGTAAGTGAATGATTTGAAAAATACAGACTGAAATAACATTCACTAAATTATAAGATTACGAAGTACAATCGCACTGAAGAGAACGTCTAATGCAGCTAACCTCTGTCTATCATTCTCCAAATGACCTATGGTGATTCCTTATCTAAAAGACAAGTTATCTGGTTTTGCTACGAATCCAGCTGCTACTGTGGAGAAAGCTATTTAGGCGCACATCTAGACAAATGAACCAATGAGTTAGTGAACAACTCCCTTTGTGGTTCGGAAAGGGTATCGTCTTAACAATATCCAGCCCTGTTCTAGCACACATGGTCGATAGCGGTCATGTCGTAGACAGAAGTAGGTCACTTCGAATGATTTATCGTATTGTTTCTAGGGTTCGATTTCGCCTTTTGCACATAATAAAACCATAGTGACTCAAGATAACAATCCAAGTCTTTATATTCTTAAGAAATCTGTTACATTCATGTCTCCTCCTTAGCCGAAATAGCCTTAATTAAAGGATCTATTTACTATTATTTTCCATACCTTTTGTTATTTTTCCTGATACCCCCTCTTTTTTTCAAATCCACGCCTCGTTTCCTGATTATCTAAACACTTTTTATTACGTATTCTTATACATTTTAAGTAACGTTACTTTAGTGCCTGCGTTTTTCAAATCCTTCACTTACTTCCTATTATGAAACTTTGATTCAAGACTTTGTTATTATTATCACAACTAGTACACTTGTCATCACACTATCAATCTATACTTTTTACTTGTTATCAGTTATGCTATCTATTCCAGTGTTATCACTGACTGGTAAACTGCCTTGATTAGTTTAATAATTTCGTATATGCAATAAATATTACTGTATATGAAAGTAAAACCTGATGAGGATCTAACTGAAAACAATAATGTCCGCTTATATGTTTTTGCAAAAAAAGAACTAATAAAATCTTTCTATCAGACAATTATTATGATTTGATAAACCCAATAGTTCACCTATTAAAAATTATTTATTAAATGTAAGTGAAAAGAAAATATATAGAGAAGAAATCCCTATTAAAACCGAATATTTTACACAAAAATGGTTAACTGATATCTTATCTTCAAAAACTGTTGAAATTAGCCAATTACAAATTACAATGATGATTTATTCATTTACGTATTATTAAATTGAATATACAAAGAACAGTACAATTTCTGTATTGATAAGTAGAGAGAATAAAAAATAATAGTGATACTTAGAAAAAGAGAACAAGTAATTCACAAATCTAACAATAAAAATGTTAGTTCAACAGGACACAATATCTACTGCCTTGATAAGATAGATAGATACATGGACAAGCATAGACAATCTATAAGAGTAACAGATGTAACTACAAGCAAAACAAATGCTGACCTTTCAATGTATTAAAATTCTCTCTATTTGCTATTGATTCACTTTTATAATACAGGAAGACGATGGAAGCAGAAATAAAATAATTTAATATCGAGAGATAATATGAGCAGTATAAACTTGAATAGATGCACAAATATGAAAACCATATACATATATATGATGAATATATTTGATCAAGTGGACACTTCACTATGAATAGATGATGATGGAGTCGCAGGAACCTCAATTTCTTGTCCGCTTATTACAGCAACCATGTCATGTTGAGAAGCTACAATATAAGTAAATTATAGAATAAATAGGTAAAAACCGGATTATATTATTTGTTATTTATAACATAAAGGTGTAAGATATCTAGGGAGGAGGGTATAAAATGATACACTAAACAAAATTATAAGGTAAAAAAAGGTGAATAGGTAAATGACAGATCTTAATAATAATTGTCTAAACGAAAAGAACAATAAGTAAATGATAGTCAGTCAGTTGCAACGTTAAAACTGGTACGTGTGTACGTCGGCCCAAGTCGCCTAGCCCCACTAGCACAGAAGGATAAAATTGTCAAGTCAAATCCTGGAAGAGTGGTGGTAGTAACCGTATCAATGGTAATAGAAAAGATTGGACATCGGCGATACGATTAGAGAAAATATGAGATAAAAGACTTATGAGAAATTTAGAAGCTGAGTTTGGGGAGTAAATGATAAACAGATTGAGAAAACCCCAACATGATTAAGATCTTATCAGAATTGATTTATCCACCCTACCTAAAATTAGGAACCTAATCAAAACATTGAGTACTCAGTGGTTCCATTATCCTCGAAAATTATCTCAAAGAAATTTATCACCAAACACATATAGAGTAGTATCTTTTAGACTTGATAAGTATGTTAAAGTCGAGGAGTTACACATACAGAAATGCTGAAAAGTATACTCTCCATTTATAAGTAGTAATATATCTCTCACTGGCACTAGCAGGTTGGGAAAAAATAGCCAAATATTTCGTCTAAATATCTGTTCGATTATATCCAGTGTTAGGCAGATGTCAACAGACAAAACCAAACAGTATATTTTGATATTCGAATTTAGTGACAACCATCAATTCACCTGAAAAGGTTGGATGTTGCTAAGACTCTTCTCTATTCAGTTCAACTTCTCTACTCCCATTTTAAAGTTACTCGGTATTACTATTATATCTTTACAATTGACCTATTAAAGTATCTTTGATGTTTGTTGATTAAACTTATTTTGATGTTTCTCAATCTAAAGTCATTAGTTGAATAATGAGGAACTATTGTTTCACTTTTCCTCTGATTCCTTATAGAACCATTCACTAAAATAGCACACACGTCACCATACGCTGGGAACCAGGACAAAAGGTTCGTTTTCCTCTCTTGAGATTGTTAATATCATACCTCATTTGAAAGCTCACGAGAACTAGTTAAAGATTCTCAGATACCATTCTATTTCAGTTGTGAGTAATTCAATTATCTAATACCTTGTGATGTTTAAGACATAAATACTTACATAAAATTGATATACAGTCGTTGATTAATCAGGAATTTAATAGAAATTATCATCAGACTATTATTGTTAAAAATTAGTGGTTAATTGACCTAGGAGCATGATTCAAATGAAGTTGAGTTTGGTAAGCTCGTTGATTTAATTGTGAAACTTTCATTGTCTTTTTAGGCACAATTAACACTCAATCTAAACAGAACTGAGGTATTAGAATGTATCTACAATTGGCGAAGAGTTTAGTCAGTTGACAGTGAATTTGGTAGACAGTTGGCAATAATTATTTTGGTTGTCTAGGCATTAATGTTGATTATCTTCCCCTCTTGACATGATTCTTAACCTTAAAGTTGTTAGTGATTTTTCTAATTCGGTGTATTTTCATGTATGTTTGTTGATTGGTGGTTGGTCTGATAAATTTCAATATAGTATCAGTTTCGAGAGGTATTCGACATATGGTCACATAATATGTAAGAAAACATATGCATTGTTAGTTGAATTCCATTAAACTGTTGTTATTCCTAATAGAAAACCATAGTCAGTATAGTTGAAAATCAGTATGATTATTCCAAATTGTTGTAACGCGTGTGGGACTGCAGGTTATGCTAGACAGCGTTTATATCGATCGATTACAGTAGACACGGAAAACACGTATGGACGACCTTGTGCCCTGATTGGTCCCGCTTCCCTGTCTGTCCTAGCCAGTTTGAGTCAAGAACGCAAGCCACAGCCTCTGAGTTATGAATCGTTGTATTTCAGACATACTTTGTTTATATACCAATCAAGCACACCACATCGTACCATAAAATAGGAAACAACATTTACAAAATATTTAACAAGTGAAATAAACATCGACCAATAAGAAATGTACATTTAAGGTCCAAGGACACCATAGACTTAACACGATAATTATTGGTATATTTTTCCGACTATCCTAACACAAATATATCTACCATTTTATTTTCTTCAGAATCGTGGACAAATTAATACCTCTTCCGTATCTTTTATCCCATTTTGCCACTAATTTTTCTCAATTTACTATTTTTATTGATATTATTGTTTTTAACCATCTTTTTCCTTCTCACTATGTCTAACATAAACAAACTGTGGTAATTTGAACTGACAAACATTTGTTTGTTATTTCAATCAGTTAACTCCGCCTGTAGCTCTTCTAGAGTTACTCCCGGTCCCAAGCCCTGGTAAAGGAAGAGGGTTAGACATGGGATTAGCGACACCATCCCGTAGAAAACTAACTCGCTAAAAAAACACTAACCAGAAAATATAATTCAAACCATTTAAACTCTGCCCTGAAAGTTAGAAGGTCTTCATTTAGAAGAATTATGACGCCTCATGGAGAAAGCCGAGTTTCTTAGGAAGCCACGAGGTCGATGCCCATCCTAACAACCAGAGCAACAATTTTTATAGGTACATGGAACGTCCGAACAATGTGGGAGACTGGGAAGACCAGTCAAATAGCAACGGAAATGAGGTGATACAATTTGGCAGTACTGGGAATCTGAGAAACCCACAGGACGCAAACTGGACAACAAACGCTAAATACGGGAGAGATGCTGCTATACTCCGGTCATGAAGAGGAAAATGCTCTACACACTCAGGGAGTTGCTCTAATGCTGTCCAAAGTAGCACGAAATGCACTTGTAGAATGGGAATCTCACGGATCAAGAATCATCAAAGCATCATTCAAAACAAAGAAGGAGGGGATCACAATGAATATCATCCAATGTTATGCACCCACCAATGATAGCAACGACGACATTAAAGATCAGTCCTACGAGCGACTGCAGCCAATCATAGAGAACTGCCCAAGAGGGGACCTCAACATTCTGATGGGAGATCTAAACGCCAGAGTCGGAATAGACAACACCGGATATGAAGATATCGTGGGACGACATGGACTGGAACAGAGAAACGAAAATGGAGAAAGATTTGCAAATCTATGTGCATTCAACAAATTGGTCACAGGGGGCACAATATTTCCACACAAGCGTATACACAAGGCTACATGGATCTCACCGGACTACACTACAAAGAACCAGATAGATCATATTTGCATCAACAAAAAATTCCGAAGGACAATGGAAGATGTGAGAACCAGAAGAGGTGATGACATAGCTTCAGATCACCACCTAGTTGTAGCCAATTTAAAACTGAAGCTAAAAAAGTACTGGACAACTGGACAAACAGCACTACAAAGGTTCAATACAGCCTTCCTTCGAGATACTGACAGACACAATGAATTCAAGATAGCTCTCAACAACAGGTTCCAAGCCTTACAGGATCTACTGAAGGAAGAAGAAACTACTATGGAGGACAACTGGATAGGTATCAAAGAAGCATTAACTTCAACGTGTCAAGAGGTTCTGGGCCTAAAGAAACACCATCATAAGGAGTGTATCTCTATAGAAACTCTGGACAAGATTAAAGAAAGGAAGAACAAGAAGGCAGCAATTAACAACAGCCGAACACGAGCAGAGAAAGTCCAAGCACAAGCTGAATACACAGAAGCAAACAACAAGTGAAGAGGAGCATTAGAACCGACAAGAAGAAATACGTGGAAGAACTAGCAACGACGGCAGAAAAAGCTGCTAGGGAAGGAAATATGAAACAGCTTTACGATACAACGAAGAAACTATCAGGGAAATACAGTAAACCAGAGAGACCGGTCAAGGACAAAGAAGGCAAGCCAATCACTGAAATTCAACAACAGCGGAACAGATGGGTAGTCAGTCAGTCAGCTACTACGTAGGACCAGGCACATATGTGCATCGGTCCAGGTTGCCATACCTCATTAGCACAACAAGATGAACACCGGATTCATAGGAGTGGTTAGGTCAAAGGTTGCAATAAGGATATAGTATAGGAAGGAAGAATTAGTTCGTAGAAAGAAAGGTATGAAGTGATTTTAATCTCTTAGTTTAAGGGAAGACAGGGAGTGTATACACCGACGCCATTGTGATCGATTCTGAGCCATGTCACCAAGAGTCTCCAACCATTGGTTACGAAAGTCACGCGGACCCCAACCAAGTAGTCTGCATCTACCAACATGGCTCAGACTAGAAGTTAGTGACTTCAAGCACTGATGCCACGTTTTGGTTTGGCCGCCCCTAACTTTTTTCCAACCATCCCCTACACCGGTTAGCATTGCACGTCGTGGTAATCGGTGTTCAGGCATACGTAATACGTGGCCCAACCATCTCAGTCGATGAAGATTCATAACCTCATCAACTGATTTACCATCATTCCCTAATACCCTGCGTCTAACCTCACTATTACTTACCCGGTGATCCCAGCAGATGCCAGCAATATTTCTAAGGCATCTGTGGTCAAATACTAGTAGCTTACGGGTGTCTTCTACTCTTAAAGGCCATGTTTCGCTGCCGTAAATTAAAACAGAACGGACTGCCGCGCAGTATACTCGTCCTTTTATTGATAGACGGATATCTCGCCTCCGCCAAAGGTGACGTAAGTTGGCAAAAGCCAAACGAGCTTTACGAATCCGTGCTGAGATTTCGTCAGACACCAACCCATTAGGGCTGATCAGACTTCCAAGATAAGTGAAGTTGTCAACGCGTTCGACTACTTCACTCCCTATCCTTAGTTCAGGTGTTGACGCAGACCAGTCCTGAAGCAACAACTTGCATTTAGAGGGAGAGAAGCGCATCCCAAACATTCTGGCATTGTTGCTTAGTGCTACCAGAAGACTCTGCATTTTGTCAGCGTCTTCACCAAACAGGACTATGT